CGTCGTCGCCTACGTCGTCCTCTGTCTTTTCTCGTGTTCGTCGTCGCCGTCCTCTGTGGCGTCGTGGTCGTTTCCGTCGTCGCTGTCGCCGTGGTCGTCCGTCCTCCCCCTCCCACGTCGTCGTCGTCGTCCGTCGTCGGCGTCTCGTCGTCGGTCCCTCCTATTTCGTCACCGTCGTCGTCGTCGTCGTCGTCGTCGTTGTCGTCGTCGTCGTCTTCCCTCCTCCCTCGTCGTTGCCGTCGTCGGCGTCGCCGTCCTTCCTCCTTCTTCGTCGTTCGCGTCGTCGCCGTCCTCCCTCCTCCCTCGTCGTTGTCGTCGTTGTCGTCGTTGTCGCCGTTGTCGTCCTCCCTCCTTCCTCGTTGTCTTCGTTGGCGACGCCGTCGTCGTCTTCGTCGTCGTCGGCGTCGGCGTCGTTGTCGTCTTCGTCGTCGTCGTCGTCGGCATCGTCGTCGCCGCCGTCGTCGTCGTCCGTCGTCGTCGTCGTCGTCGGCGTCGTTGACGTCGTCGTCGTCGTCGGTGTCGTCGTTATCGTCGTCGTTATCGTCGTCGTCATCGTCGTCGTCGTTGTCATCGTCGTCGTCGGCGTCGGTGTCGTCGTCGTCGTCGTCGGTGTCGTCGTCGTCGTCGTTGTCGGGTCGTCGAAGTCGTTGGAAACGTCGTCGGTGTCGTCGTAGTCGTTGTCGGCGGCGTCGTCATCGTCGTTGTCGCTGTCGTCGTCGGCGTCGCTGTTGTTGCCAACTGCCATGTGGTACCCACCGTCACGGTCTCAAGAGATTTTGCAAACCAAGTTGCGGGTGGGTGGGTGGGATGTTTGCGCGAGCAGTGGAGTGGACAACTCACCGAACAAAATTTAAATGCACCACATAGATTGCACCAACAGGCGGCACAACGCAGATGACACCAGGTTACGCCGCGCATGCTGCTCCACATAGATTGCACAACATATCTTGGCACACTCACAAGGTCCGGGGCCCGCGCTGGCTGACAGCGCGAGGAATTGGCGAAACTATCGGGCCGATGTCGGTAAGTGGTCAGGTTCTCGGGCGCCTGGGTTCTGGGCCCCAGGTCCGGGCGAAAGTCCCCCACCGAATTCAGCGGGCGATTCGAGGCCCCCCACGAAGGACAGTAGCGAGAGGTGAGAGAGAGAGAGGGAACAAACATAAAACAAAAGAAAAAAGGAAACAACTGATACATACAAACCTGGCGAAGGACCCAACCGTGCGCAGCTGCGAGCGCCGCAATTGTGAACATCTTCTTGCGAGGGGGGCGCCGACGTGCGCGGCGGGGTGCGCGACGCGAGCGAAAGCGATGGGTCTGGGTGCCAAAGCTTGAGCGCGGGCGAGTCCGAGCGCGAGTGGGTCCGACTATGAATGAATCTGCGCGCGATTGATTCTATTTGCACGAATGCGAGCATGGCTACGCCCAGTGTAAGTGCATGCGACTGTGAATGGTCTGGGCCTGCCTGACTCCCAGCACCCGCGACGCTGAGCGCGCCCTCCGCAGGGGGCCCCCTTGGGGGCCCCGGCGGCAGCGCCCGCGCGCCGCGACGCCCATGTCGGCGCGCCCCGCGCGAGGATCGCGCCCGCTCCCCGCCTTTCCCTTCCTCTTCGCCCGCGCGCTCCAAAGTCCAAGGCTGCGGGCGCAGCGCAACGCGGAACCCCCGCGACGCGCGCAGGTCGCCCAGAAGAGGTCCCAAATGACGCGCGCGGTTCGTCCGCTGCGCGGAGCAGAGAGTGCTCGCTGGCTAACTGATTGCGCGCGCGGCTCTGGCCGCTGGGCGGAGCGACGACGAGCAAGCGAGGCGCTGGGCAGAGCGCGGCGCGGAGTTCGCGCGACGCGCGCTGGTCGCCCCGAGAGGGCCCCAGCGACGCGCGCGGGTCGTCCGCGGCGCGAGGCCAAACAGTCGGACAGCCAAGCGCAGGCGCGGCTCGGGCGGGGCGCTCCTCAGGTCAGGCCTCGCGGATAAACTCTGCGAGGCCGAGCTCCCTGGCGAGGGTCGTCGCCTCCCTCCTGCGCCGCTCCGCGCGCCGCAAACTGCTCCAGCTGCCTCTGCAAGCCCTGCGGCGGCCCTGCCAGGAAGGACTCGGCGCACGGCGTCCGCATGAGCAGGAGGTCCTCGTGGCGCGTGGCGCGCGAAAGCAGCGTGGAGCTCCAGCCACCAGTCGTCGTCCCCCTTTTTGCCGTTGCCGACTTCGTGGCGGCCGCAGTCCAGGATCACGCCTGGGCGACGTCGGCCGAAGGACCATCGCGCCGGACAGCCGACGGCACAGGGGCGAGAGTCCGCTCCGGTTCAAGACCATGCCCCTGAAGACACCCCATCGCTTAGTAATCCTGGACACCGGGTGGGGCCAGGCCACGTACCGCGGTGGTTGAGATTACTTGCAACGGATGGCTTCAGCGCAAAATTGACTCAACGGCCATATAAATATCCACTACTCGAGCAAACAGGACGAGGAGAAGGAGAAGGAAGAGGAGGAGGGTGGAGGATGCAAACGCAGCACTGGAGAGGAGTTGGAGGGAGAGAAAGAGCCCTCCCGCTTGTATCCTTACCCTGGTGCGGAGGCGCGGCCTATTCGTCCCCTCTGAGCCTCACCCTCCCCTCATCACCATCACCATCACCACCATCATCATCGTATGTGTTTGTCCTCCTGGTCCTCGTCATCACCATCACCATCACCATCACCATCACCATCATCATCATCATCATCATCATCACCACCATCACCACCATCACCACCATCACCATCGTCATCATCGTCATCATCGTCATCATCGTCATCATCATCATCATCATCATCATCATCATCATCATCATCATCATCATCGTCATCATCATCATCATCATCATCATCATCATCATCATCATCATCATCATCATCATCATCATCATCATCATCATCATCATCATCATCGTTAACCTCCCCCATCCTGATCCGAACTGCCTGGGCATCTCCGGGAGCCTCCGCCCACAGAAACCACATGTGACGCTCCCTTTAGGGTGCGATCTGCGCGAGGGGCGTCCCGGAATCGGCACGGCGCCGCTATGTGAACCCTGCTAGTGGGGCCTTCGGTAGAGCTCCCTATGAGGCCACGAAGCGTGCGATGGTTGTGCAGAAATGAGGCGGCACCGACATGCGGAACCTGCCGCTGCGGCCTTCGGCGGTGCCGCCTCAGACCACGAAACGTGCGAAGGGTGTGCCGAAATGGGGGGTGGAACCGCATGCGAACGCAGCCACTGGGGTTTTCGGTAGAGCTCCCTGTGGGGCCGCGAAACGTGTGAGGTGTGTGCCGAAATGAGGGGTGGAACCGCATGCGAACGCAGCTACTGGGGCCTTCGGTGGAGCTCCCTATGGGGCCACGAAACGTGTGAGGGGTGTGCCGAAATGGGGGGGTGGAACCGCATGCGAACGCAATGCGAACGCAGCCGCTGGGACCTTCGGTGGAGCTCCCTATGGGGCCACGAGACGTGTGCGGGGTGTGCCGAAATGGGGGGTGGAACCGCATGCGAACGCAATGCGAACGCAGCCAGTGGGACCTTCGGTGGAGCTCCCTATGGGCCCACGAAACGTGTGAGGGGTGTACCGAAATTGGTGATGATGATGGGAGGAGGGAGGGGGAGGAGGAAGGAGGAGTGAACGCGGGGCGCTGTCTCTTCAAAACAAGGACCCAACACCACAGGATGGTTGGGAAAAAAAACACAGAGGGGAAGAGAGAGGCAGCCAGAGAGAGAGAGAGAGAGGGAGAGCAGGGATACCAGACGCAGGAAAGAGAACATGCATACTCGAGAAGTCAGAAGGAGATCGTGGTGGGTAGTATTCAGCCTGCGTGATAGAATAGTGTAGACGGGAAGAGATGAGCGCACACTGTACAAAAAATGCATCAAAGAGCATAGAATAGAGAGCAATGAGCGGAAAGACGATGATAGAGAATACATGCTGGGGAGCAGGAGGTGGAGGGAACAGAGCGGAACATAGAGTTCACATGTAGATGAACAGGGCAGCTGGTGGAGAGTAGAGAACAGAGAATCGAGAACCTGGAGCATAATCAGAGAGCGAAGAAGAGACAACGCCGATGAACACCTCCCTCACCAATTGCCCTCGCGAGCGAACAACTGATTGGGCCTTCGCTGGAGTTGGAGTTGTAAGAAATAGGTCGCTAGTGCGCTGTGAAATACGAGCTACCGTCGCATCGTGTTCGAATATCCTTAGCACTGACGAGGCAACGCAGCACGAGCACGAGCACATTAGAATGCAGTAACTCATGCACTGGAACCCCGTGTTGATTCCACGTATGAGCTCGCCAACGAATGGGACCGCACCCTGCCAATATCATCACAGCACGATGTGAAACTACACTGGTTTCGCAATGACACCCACACGCATAAGCGGCTACATGAGCTTGGTTGTGGCAAACGTATTGCCTCCAACGCTTGGACAAGCGCGTCCCACGTCATGTACGCTTTGCGTGGGGGATCACAGATCCAGGTGCTCGAACATGTTGCAAACTGTTCACGGTTGGGTTGTATCGGCATCGGGTTACATTCTATGGAAGGTGGGAGTGGACGGGGACAGCTGACTCGCTCGAGCTGTCTACTATGTTTCCTATTCATATTCTTACTCACTATTCCTACCCACAAACTCTACGCTCTGTTAATTAAAGGACTGAGTCTGTGCCTCAGCGACGAGACAAACAATACGAACACCAGGACGCTCAGACCTGAGAAACAAGAAGACGCCACGACGACAAGGCCGTCTACAACAATTCGGCAGCACGAGGGAGCGCCACAAACCGCAAGCGAGCAGCCGAACTCAACTCCCAGAATGAACTGCACCAGCCCACGAATCCGATGCTGGGTTCGCTTCCATACTTGGCTCAGGTGGCAGAGTTCTGGGTACTCGGCTCAGAGCTCTGTGATCTCTACCTCTCTGAGACGACGTTTCTGACTGAAATGCCCCTTATTCAGGCATGCCCCCGCTGCCCGTCCCCTCCACTGCGAGATTTCAGGCTATTCTCTGGACCAGGTGCACCTGCAGGGCACGCATGCATGCAAACGCAAAGACACGACGATCTGGACAAACCGCTGGTATGGAATGGACGGCCGCATGCGGTGCCATGGGTGCTAGGAAGGCGCAATGAGTGGGGCCCAGCTTTGGAATTGCGCCTGGGTTCCCTTCGTGATCACGCCTGCCACAGAAAAATGAGGCCCTTCTTTTCATGCCCCCCCCCACCGTTCTCCCCCTCCTCCTGGTCCTCCCCCTCCTACTGAGACCCTCCAAGCGCCTGCCCGCCCCCCTGCCGTGAAGCGCGGCTTTCTTCATGAGCGGGCTCTCCCGCCCACAGGGCCGCCGTCCCGCATCGCTGAAGCACGATTTATCTGCAAGCACGGGCCCATGCTCCAGAATACGTCCACCCTGGCCGCCCCGGGCCCCACGACTGCGAAGCACACATTCAGACGCGTCCGCAGGCCACCCGATGACTATAAGGTGCCCTCTGCGCCTCATGACCTGGGGTCGCCCCACTGCTGTGAATCCAGGTTATCTTCAAGCACGGGTCCATGCTCCAGAATACATGCCCCCCTGGCCGCCCCACGACTGTGAAGCAGTATGCAGAGATATGCTACTATAAGGCCGCCCCCGCGACTGCGAAGCAAACGCTACCCCTCATGGCGCAGGTTCCGCCCCACGCCTGTGAGGCTGGTCATCATCGAGAACGGGGCAACACTCACATGGTTTTCGCCCACTGGGCTGGCCCACGTCTGCGAAGATCGCTTCACCCATCAAGGCCACAAACCGCCCCACACCTGCGAAGCACGCCTGAAAACGACATCGTGTTTCCCCTCCTTGCGCATTGCTTCAGCCGCAGCCCAAAGAGGCATTCCGATCGGTCTTTGAAACGCGGGCTAACGGACCGCCCCCCTATTGGGAAGCACGGTTATATTCAAGATCGGGGTGATGCTCCCAGGTCCTACCGCCCACAGGGCCGCCCCACTACTGTGAAACCTAATTATCTTCAAGCACGGGCCCATGATCTAAATTACATGCATCCCCTGGCCGCCCCACAACTGCGTAGCTGACTTGATGATTTTAAAGGGCTCTGCAACTACGAATATTTACGATACACCTCGCCGAACCTGACGATTCGGCAGGTCACATCCAGATCTACGCCCCTCGAGCTGCGCCACTACAATGACGAACAATTCACCCAGGCAAAGATGCTTCTGCTCCCGGGGTCGTGGGACCGCCCCGCCACTGTGAAGCACGGTATCTTCAAGAGCGGGCCCTCGCTCAAAGATACTTACCCACAGAGGGCCTCCCCGCGACTGGCCGCCCCACGACTGCGAAGCACCAGCCAAGGTCTCTCTGCAAAGCAGGCTGCCTCACGACTACGAAACACACTTTACCCCAAGTGGCGCAGGGCCGCCCGCGCCGGTAAGCGGGTTATCTTAAAGAGAGGTTCAACGCACAAATAAACGACCCCGTACAAAATCACCCCACGACTGCGGCGCACACTTTACCCCTCAACGCATGAGATTCCCCGACGACTGCGAGGCGCGATGGAGACGATCGCGACAGGTGAAGGCCTCTCTCTGTTCAACCTGCTTGCGCAACTTCCGGCTGCCATTGCGAATAATACTATGAACATCCAGGGTCGGCGGCCACCCGGAAAAAACCATTAGATATCCTGGGCTTGGCGCCCCAGACGCCTTTCGAAGCTGCCGAGGGCCGGGGACAGGAGGAGGGACACGGAGGCGCCGACGCCCTTGCAAGAAAGGGACAGAGACTGGCGGAAGAGGGCTCCGAAGACCCATCAACCTACACAGCAATGGCTCACTCAGAGGCGGAGGAAGATGATGAAGACGACGCTGACGATCGAAAACCCAAGGAAGAAACTGGCGGGAGAGAGCTCCTGCGACGCATCAGCCCAGAAAGCATCCGAGAGGAGGAGGGGAAGGAGGAGCAGGAGGAAGAACACGACGACGAGGAACTCGAGGAATGGCGCCGGCTCGCCATCTGGGCACCTCCTCATTCCCCCCATTCCCCCTTCTCTGCCTCTTTTTGCTTTTCTCCCTCTCCCTCCTGCTCCTCCTCATCGGCCGGTCAGCGCAAGAAAGGTCGAAGCGCATGATGGCGAGAAGAGGGCGAGAAGACCACAGGGTGAAGAATATGGCAGGACAGAGGCAGCAACAACTGAATGGACACCACGGTCTCGAGCGCCAACGGCGCAGGCCCACTCTGAAAGTGGACGGGCTCGGGGTACTATCGCTTGTTTAAAGTGGATGGGTACTTGGAGGAAAAAAGAAGGAGATGTAGGGTTGAAATAATAATGACCTTCCCCCTGGGTTTCTCCTCCTCCTCCTTCTCCTCCTCGGTCGGTCGGTCGGACGCTGAAGACGTTCAACTTCGCCGCCTATCCGAGCAAAAGAGAGCAAGGCAAGCGGGACGGGGGACAGCAGAGCAGTAACGCGGGCCGCCAGACGGCCACTATTGGGCCACGGGCCCCAGTGGCCGTGTCCAAAAAATGGTCCAAGGGCTTAGGAATAAGCCGAGAGGACTGCCTCCACGATTATCTCCAGCTCCTTCGCAATGAAAGCTTCACGCCCCCAAGGGGAGAAGGGGGCGAGATGAAACGTCGCGGGGCAACCGCAATGGCTCCTGGAGGGGACTGCAGCCCCAAAATGAAGAGACGGTGAGGCAAAGCAGCTTCTGACCCTACCCGTGGCAGTCTATGGAGCACGGTGAGAAAGGGAGATTGCTGAGAGCGGATCTCAGAAATCTCTTGGAAGTCACCATCGTGCCGAGCCCCGGGGTGCGCCCGGGGGCGCAGCCCGCGGAACCCCGCATACGAGGCGATCTAGGAGCCGAAGCTGGCACAGGCGACGAGGGGGCCTCGAGGGGGTCGGCCGCGACCCAGAAAAAGGCGAAGGGCCCGGGAAGGGGGGCCACTCAATCCGGACTTCCAGCCACGACGCACTGTTGTCGTGGAAGCCCTTGGCGCAACTTTCTCGCTGGACCCGGGCCCCCTGGACGCGCCACCCAAATCACTCATCAACGGATGCCCGCGCCCCAGTGGCCAGGAAACGCCTCCAACGCGAAAGGGCACGCTTCACATGGTCGACGAGTCTGTTGTAACTGTGAACTCGTGGCAGCGGCCCTGGCCCCTCTTTCCCGCTATGAGCGCTCACGTTTGTAGAACTTGCTAAAATGGACCGACGTGGTCACGCTGCGAGGCGCGGTGAATGCACCCTGGTGGCACACAGCACCGGGCGGGGGGCGGTGCTGACAATCTCTTCTCCAACCATGAAGTTCGGACACACGCGCCTGATCCTCCAAGTGCAGCGCTGGGCGGCCAGCTTGACAGTGCGAAATAAACGGTTCGCGTCATACCTCGTTGGTCGGCCCATTCTTGCGCCCCCCCTCAGCTTGGACCTCCTTCTTGAGGGCAGACTGGATGAGCCACTGTACGTCGGCCGAAACTGGGGCTGGCCACCCTTCCTGGCGCACGTGCAAAAAGTCCAACAAGGGTAACTGCAAGCCTGGTGCCTGGCAATGCAAGCGAATCAAGTAGCGCAACAGACTCACTTCCATGGTGATGGTGGTGATGATGGTGATGATAATGATGCTGATGATGATGAGGATGATTATGATAATGATGATGACGATGATGACGATGACGATGGTGATGATAATGATGACAATGGTGCTGACGGTGATGCGGATGATGGTTATGATGATGATGATGGTGATGATGCTTCGGAAGATGATGATGATGATGCTGATGGTGATGATGATGATGGTGATGCCGAGGAGGGTCGCCGTGGCCATAGCGTTCCTTTTTCGAAAAGCTGACGGTGGCGATGGCAAGAAGCGATGCATCAAGACCACGAGTGGCGGCAGCCACTGCAGGCAGCACAGACGGCACAGACGTCGAATACCGAAATAAAACCCTCAAGCGAGGGCGGGTGGGCTTGGGAGCTTGAGCACACAAATTTACATATGTGCGGCCACTGAAACCCTGTCCCATCACACTCCACACTAAAGTTGTTATCGTGCCGAGGAGGGTCGCCGTGGCCATAGCGTTCTTTTTGAGAAACGCTGACGGTGGCGATGGCAAGAAGCGATGCATCAAGACCACGAGTGGCGACAGCCACTGCAGGCAGCACAGACGTACACTGTGTAACACTACATCACGGCCGAAGGCCGCAAATATCATACATCCTGGACCGACACAGATCATCTATAGCCTCAACGAGGGAGTCGGCCACCAGCTCTGCAGCTCGGACGGGGAAGCGCGCAGCTTTGTAGCGGCACGCCACGCCTCTGGCCGTTCGGCCGTCGAATTGTAAATGAGGTCGCCCCGATCCCGATCACACTTTGCCACGCAGACTGCAACGAGCGTTCAGGCGCTGGAGCTGAGGACAGTGCCAGCAGAACACTCGCGTGGCCGAACGGGCTGCCGCTTCGAATTGACAGAGGTCCAGGTCAACTTGAAGAAAAGACGGGAGACTGACTGGAGCCCGAAACTCAGGCAAAGCAAACATGAGGCTGGTGCGCGGGTGCTCAAGACAGACAGGTACAGACAAGTCGATACAGGCACGAATGACTCTGAGGGCTGCGCGCATCTCGACATTGTCCGTTGCAAACGTCGGGAGCTGCAACCGCGGGCTAGCAGGCGCGGCCCGACCCCAAGGGTCAGACACTGCGCGGACAGGCGGGGGCCCAGACTCGATCCAAGACCCGCGTGGCAAAGAGAGACAGCAAGCACAGACCGCCGACCAACGAATCCACCCAAGGAGTCGATCGACGACGCCCTGCTCGCACAGCGTAAGGCCCACATTTCGACCTGCACCAAGCGAGGGGCAACCCAAACCGCGACGGCGCAGCGCATTGCAAATGGGGGCCCCGTGAGGCCCAACCACCGGCAAAACGAGCCGACGGCGACGGGGCGCCCGCGCAAAGGCACGTCGGAAGGCAGCGCACGCGCGCGAACCTACTTTCTGGACAGAACGGGCGCCCGCTTCTCGACCCGC